TTCACCTGGTCGGTGCCGGGACCCCCCCCAACTAGAACGGAGCGACCAGGCGGAGCGAGGCGGGTCATCACAGCCAGTTTCTCGCTCGTCACAAGGACGCTACGAACGGGGCGAAACTGGCCTTACGACGCTACGAACGGGGCAACCATTCATCGCGTCTCGAGTCGCATTCTGACCGATGCGAACTAGGCGCAGTTTCTCCAAGCTCTTCGACCCGTGGGTGGCGTTGGGCCTCAGAGAAGGGTCCGATGCCCGAGGCGGGTTGGTTCTGAGACCGACCCGTACCGAAAAGGTTCGGTATACGACTGGACCCGACGTTTTGGCACCTGCAAAAAACAGTGAGGTGGAAGAAGTCGTGTCTTCGGAGGAAGGCTTGAACAACTTAAAAGAACATTGAAAGAACGATGGATTGGGATGGAAGACATAACCCCTGAAATGATATCTCTTCAACACCTACATCAACGACGCCAAATAACGTGCTGTTTTAAGGATCTTTTTGAATCCTTTTGATACCGACTTAGTATGAGGCTATTAGCACGATCTCACCCTTGGTCAGACTTCTTTACTTCTTTACCTGCTGAGAGAAAACAACAAACAATAAAGCGGATCATGGACACAACAAGCGAAGATGGACGAGCCCTCAGCACGAGAAATAAGAGACGCATGAAGGAGAACCTGAGCCTTTTTGAGCAGCTAAGTATAGCCGATCCATGCCAACCCTTAAAGCAGGCGACGGCGACAACTGCCGAAGGACTTGCTCAATCAGGTGATTTCCTTTCGGTTTGATACCCCCTCTACTTGAAAAGATTTTTGGATTCGCTCAGATGATGTGGAGACCTGTGCAAAGCCATTGGGATGCACTGGATCGGGCCACCCTGTTCATGCAAGAGTTCTGGAACACAAAGAACTAGAACACGTTCTCGCTGATATTCTAGTGGAATTATGGCAAGTTTCCTGGTTTATCTTCCCAGATTCCCTCTTACCATCTCGTATACCAACTGGTGCAGATATGTGTTGCCTTTAGCCAAAAGTTGCCAAAAAAACTATCTTATCAGAAACCTGACCATCTCTTTGCGCAAGCCCCCATCACTGGCCAAAGAGTCGTACAAATGCAACGTCATCAATTGTGCTTTTGTTCACTCGAAGTGATATCGGATTCCAATGAATTTCATGGCCTGCACCGGGGCAGGCCAACCTTAGGATCTGAAAAGGACACTCAAGGTCGAGGTGGCTTTTGCATAACAACTCCATGAACAACTGCGAATCAGGGCACTTGTTTTTTCAGAAATCAAGCAGACTTCACAGGTTGGCTCATCCAGAATCCCCTAAAAAAACCTTGGCACCGGGAGGCCTTTGTTGAACCGAACCCCTGGTGCCGACGTCGGAGGTCCCAGGCTTCTTGGCCGCCTTCCGCGGCTTGGACTTCCCCATGGCTGCAGCACAGGCGCGGGAGAGCACCGGAGCGACGCAGGGTGGGCTTTTTGGTGAAGAGGAAGAGAGAACGCAGATGGTCAGACCAGGTATTTGTTTGGTTGGTTGGTCTGTGGTACATGTGGTATTCGAAAATACTGGATCCAGTAGGATAGTAGGACACTTTGACAGGGAGACTGGTGTTGATAGAAGGTTGTTTTGAGGATAGGAGAAGAAAGGAGAGACATTGCTAGGGTTTTGAAGTTTTTTGTTGTATTCGGATGTTGGCACAAGCTCCAAAAGTCCATGCAGTGCAAATCAGGCACGAGCACACCAGATTATTTGGGCACCCGCCGTGATTTGAACCCCTCAGAAACCAAGTTGGTTGTTTATGCCCATCTTGGGCTGAAGTTACTGGCCTTTGTTTTCCGAAAAACGTGTTGAGTGCGTGTTCTCCACGAACAAAATCGCGGGGATGGGGCCCAGTCACTCTATGCGTCACAAGGCTCTACGAGCAAATAGCTCGTTCGGGTTTCGTGCTCTGCAAAATTGGAGAACTCTGTTCATCGTTGTTCTTACATGTCCTGCTGCTATGTTTCTTTTGAATTGCCACCATGATTTCTCAACGCTGGCCTATTGCGTGCAACAAGATATGTTTTGGGTGTGAGCGTGAAGAACAGGAGTGTGAGGCGGTCCAAGGATTCTCATACTGCCGCCGCTTGAGCAAGCGAGTCGCAAGTCAGCTGTATTCGGCCCTGACGGGGCACGTTGTCATGACCAGTCCAGGCCCGGATATTGCATGATGCTTGTGCCAGCTCCTCAGCAGTTGTCGAAAAGCACACATCTTGCCTGTGAGTCTGGAACACATTTGAACAAAATTCTTACTCGCAGTATATGTTGAACCACATGGAACTTGTTTAGATACATTGTGGGAGTTGCAAAGGTTTAGGAAAAGAGTCTAATCGTGTATCTTTGAGAACAAGCACGATAAGAGCAGAGTTTATTTGGATCTGAACACGGGGGCACGTTGAACATTGGCACAAGACAACAATTCAACATCGGTCAAAAAAAGGTAGCAAAAAGGAGGTCCTCAGGCTGCCAATAGATGACAACAATCCAGGGATCATGTCAACCATGTCTCACAAATTGGACCTCCGAAACATGCCGCTTCTGATTGGACCTTTGTTCCAAGTTTGGAACCTTTATCTAGTTTCCTGCTACGAGTTCACACCAATCTGGCTGGTGAACGGGACCCAGCACGGATCGCAGGTCCGCAGCAAGGAGACCACCAAGCGCTTAGCCGTGATCTTCGGCCTGCTACGCTTCAACCTGGTTGGGGCCTCGCCATCTGCGTGTCGTTGCGTTTCCTGTGCGCGAAACGTCGGCTCAGCGGGTCACCGCGGGTCACCGCGGGTATCATCCGGACGGGCGAACGCGGAAGGTCACAGCGCGTCACCGTGGCGACGCTCCGCTTCGACTCGCTCCGCTGATCGGGCGCGACGTCTCAGACGCAGCTGCGGGGCTTGGAACACTTCCTCCGGAACTTCGTGGCGCCGGTCTTCGCTGAGGCCGGTCCGTGGTGGGAGCGGGTGGAAGTGAGCGAAGGTGGAGTGATCGCCAGTGAGTAGTAGTGGTTGATGGTGTTTATAGGATCGCCAGGATGAGGACAGGCAAAGTTGGAGGATGCCGGACCTGGTTAGTTCTTCAGAGTGACCTTTTTGATCCTTTGTGTGTCCCAGGTTGAGGTCAATTAGGCTGTAAAAGGTTGCTCAGGGATCTCCAAAAGGGTCACTTTGAAGATGCTGCTATAGGAGGTTTCCCTGAGAGGATTCTTTGAGAATTTAGCGTTCTTCCTATTTTCATCCACAACGGCGCTGTGTTTCCTGGAGCTTCCTGGGCCACTATAGTACTAGAAGCAGAGCTTATTATATAAATCAATTATAAACTAAAACAAAAGCGTGGATCTCCAACAAATTTCCCCAACCATGACATCATTCGAGGGTTGTTTCAAAACGATTTGAAGAGGATTTTTTGGGGCCACCAGGTGGGTACTTGCCTCCTGATCGCCGATCGTCCTGGTCCACCAATGGTGGAGCGAGACGGACAAGAGAGAGAGTCCGATGGGGTCGTATTAGGTCGGTAGGTCCACCAGAGGGTCACCGGTTTTGGACCCAGGGCGCCATGTGTTTTGGTGTGTGGAGCGCGTTTGAATGAGGGCGGTGAGAGTGGAGCAGCAGAAGCCCAGGGCTCTGTCCATTCTGTGGAGCTCACATCTTCCATTCATTTGGGGCCTTTGTGGCTGTGCGGAGCGCTTTCAGATCCTGAGATGTGTGAAGGATTCAACAGTATATGTTTGTGGGCCTGCCCAGGAGCTAGCTAGTGCGAGCCGTGACCAGATGGTGGCGAACAAACATATTCATTAATTATATTAGTATTTATAATTCATATATTCACATCACCGATGACCACGCCATGTTTCGATATTTGTTTACCATAGGTGATTTCAGTGCTAGTGTCCTGTGAGGTTAGGTAGTCTCGTTGTGTCTTACTTAGAATCTATGTCTGTGCAACAATGGAACATGAAGTTACTGCAACATGCTGCATCCCATACTGCAGATGTACCAAGCATTTCGTTGTCATCAACGTGCAACTTCCTAGACGTCGACAGTTTGGACCGTTTGGAACTGCTAAAAGGGGCTGCCAAGGAGGATTCGCTGACAGTAGGAAACAACTTGGCCACATTTGCCTTTCCGAGCTGCTGCTGCTGGCTCATTGCACGATCCTTGAGATATCAGCACCAGAGCCGAGACAGAGTGTCCTGGTTTGCTTGATATAGAGACTTCCCAACTCACGGGGCAAGGCAGTGGGGTGGCTTTGGGGTAAATACTACGTTCTTGTGTTGTTTCACACACTTTCCTCTTGTGCTTTGGTTCGGTGATTCGGGCTGCATGTATAGAACATATCATACCTTGTGCCTCCAAACACGACAAAAACGTAGGGTTCATCCCAAAACACGAGGTTCTTGGAGAAAACACGAGGTTTCCCATTTTGGTGTTTTTTTCCGCCCATGCCATCTTCGAAGGCCGGGCCACAGGAACTTGAATTCAAACTCAAAAAGCCCAGGTTGATGATCAGAACGAAAAACATCTCAACCAAAAATGCAACTATTGTACCCCCTAAAACCCGTGAAAAAAACACGGGTTGTCACGGTATAATCACGGGTTTGTCACGGGTTTGGGAAACATGATGTTTTTTCTGAAAACCCGAGGTTTTTCATCCAAAATCACGGGTTGACACGGGATAATCACGGGTTTGACACGGGTTTGTCACGGGTTATCGGAGCTCTCAATAACGGACCCGAACTTTTCCTGACAAGAGTGTTGATTTTTTAAAACATATTGTGAAACATGTTTTGACCACGGAAAATTTGATAAGTCGGCGGGGGAAAATGCATATAGAGCACCTGCACATGGCTATCGAGGGTTTTGGGGCAAAACACGAGGATTTGGTTAAAAAACCGAGGTTTTCCCTTATGTCACGGCTAAACCCGAGGTTTGTTTTCAAACCCGACAAATTTGTAGGGTTCAGATGCCCAGGGTATGTATACTACATAGTATAGCTGCGTCTCCAAACAAGTTCAGGACGAACAGACGCACACATTCGGTCACTCTCCGACCCTGCGAGCAAATGGGAAACATCCAGCGCTCAGACTACAATGCGCAGTGTGACATTGATGTGCAACATCCCAACTGGATGAAAAACCTTTCGGACCAGTGCTTGCTCGGTGAGTTGTTTATCCCTGGCACGCACGACAGCTGCTCCTTACATGGTGGTGATGCAATTCAATGCCAGTCACTCCCTCTTCCCAAGCAGTTTCGCGCTGGTATCCGCTACCTCGATATCCGGTTGCGTCATTTCAACGACACGCTGCCAGTGCACCATGGCCTCAAATTTCAGCACACCAACTTCACTGGTGTACTTCGTTCCTGTCGGGAGTTTCTGGAAGAAGAACCCAGCGAAGGCATTCTGATGCGGGTGAAACAGGAGTACCAGGCAGCAAACAACACAACTAGCTTTGATCAGCTGGTGAAGGGAACTTGTTTGAGCGTTCTTGGCGCCAAGTGGTTTGTAGACTACAAAGGTAAGCTGGAGGCTTTGACTTTAGGTCAGCTGCGGGGCAAGATCTTGATTTTGCAGCAATACCGAGGGGAGAAGGCGCCCGGGGCCTTTCGCTATGGGTGCTTGGACATCCAAGATGAATACAGTTTGCCCACGGTCTTCCACATCAAGAGCCACTTGGCCTCTACACAGTTATGAACAGCCATTCTTTGATACAATTCTTATCCTCTGGATCGAGCGGATAAAAAGTCAGGCACTGACACCCATTGGGGTATGGGGTGCCCCAATTGGGGTCCAATCACAACCCGGAAATGATTATTGGTTTGTTGGTGGAGACGTGTGGAGACCACCTCATCCCAAAATAGTTATGTAATTACATATAGGGAACCAACTGCCTCCGTTCGAAGGTAGTCGAGGTGGGTGCCGGGGAGGCTAAACACCTTCTCATGATATGGTTGGAGCCAGTGTTGGAGCCTTAGGGATATAACATGCTGTAACGTATTGATAAGGACATGTGTTTTCTTTGATGTGTTTTTTTTTTCAATGATGTTTGCTGGCCAGCAAGTCCACTTCCTAGATTCCTGGGGACCTCGTTGATACACCGATCTCCTGTTTGCTGGCCAGCAAGTCCACTTCCTAGATTGCTGGGGACCTCATTGATACACCGATCTCCTTCAGTTCTGGATTTTTGCCAGCAAAACCAAGGCAAGATCTCGCAGATTGAGGACCACTTCAAGAAGAAACGTGGCTGCGTGAGCCTGAACCATTTGAGTGGCTCTGGTGCTGGCTGTTATCCCTACACCTGCGCCCGCAACACGAACTCGGCAGCGTTGGAGGTCTTGCGCAGAAATGAGACAATGCAAGGCACCATTGTTGCAGCTGATTTTCCAGGTAGTGGCCTAATTTCAGAGATTGTCAGGAGAAATGGTTGAGCTACGTTGAGCTCATGAAATACGAGCGCGATAGTACTCGACACATTGCTTCCTTGTTTGATACCCAATTTGTAGCTTGGACTGATCTGCAAAGACTACCAGTGATCCATTTGCTAGCAGTTTGCTCAAGTTTGGCCTCAGTTTTTGGTTTGTGACTCGCAGTCAACCGTAGAACATGATGCACCTGACTAGAATCAAGAGACATGTCCATGTCCCATGGACAGGCGAATTGGGTTTATATTAATATCTTTGGAGTCTATAAGTGACCTCTTTAGGGACTAAGTGACCTCATTCTAGGATCTCAAAAGGTCACTTTGAAGGTCCTGGTATATATCATGTTATATCATTGTGTTGCTGAGTATAGTCAGTATAGTGATTTCAGGTCTAAGACCAAGAATATGTGATCGCCCAACGTTGAAAGTAAGATGTCATTGACCACCAATTGCTTGTCCCCGTGGTGCAGGGTGTCAACTTGCCAGGCTGCCTATGTCAAGGCAATAATACCAGGATCCACCCTGGGAACTCGTTTCATCAAAACAGGCGTGCAGGAAACTGATCAAAACGGAAACCTACGAGTTTGACAAATATTTTGAGCCATTTTGACACTTGACACTCCGAGTTTGAGACATCTTGACACGAGTCCGTTTGAAGCTTTTAGAGTTGACAACCTCTGAGATGTTGCCGGCTCTTGTAGAGAATGCAGCACGAGAGCCAGCGCCGAAGGTGTACAGAATGCAGCTCTTGTACAGACAGTTGCAGTGGTAAGAAACGTGGGAATGAGAACTGTCCGGAGGAGCTGTGAGGTCGATTATATACTATCTCATATTGTATCACAATTCAACTCAACCTTATTACTGTACTATAGGATGTGCACATGAGTTGCCAGCCTACCATGCAGTTGTTCTTCTCAATCACCCTGTTGGATTGAGAAAGATCACTGTCAGGAAGGGCAGGGGTGAAGTGTTGAATTTGTTTGGATGTTGGTAATTAATTACATTACTTGTTGAATCTGTTAGGATGTTTGGAATTGTTTGGATGTTGAATTTGTTGAACAAAATCTGTTTCGACTGCAAAACCGGTGCCTTTCTTTGGCTTATACCCGGATCCGCATGTCGGCAACACACAGACGCCGCGCAACGTTTCGGCAACGGAGTTGCGGACCTCATGTCTCGATGTTCAGCTGAGCTTTGAGGGAGATCAGCTGGTTCATTGGGTAACCACTGAAAAGAGACTTTGAGACTTTCTGATATCCATCCATCTACGATACATCAACATCACATCCATCATTCATCCACTGTTTGTTTCTTTATAGGTGTGTTTCTTCTCGTTGGTCCTTTTGGAATACAGTTGTGTTGGTGATTGGTGTGAAATTGGTGTCCATGACTTCGAGGATCTTTGCACGCGGTCGTCCGGCGACATGCACAGTTGGGTGATGAGACAAAACATCTGGCCTAGCCGGCTTTGCTGGGTTTGTGTCATTCCCCAACAATCCATGGGATTGCAACATTGCTTGCCTTTAAAATAGCTTCAAACCACCCGAAGCTAGGCAACAAATTATTATATAGAGGATTTGCATTCCCATGGAGTGTTTGGGATTTGAACTTGCTTGATCAAGTAAATGAAACTGGTTGTCTCTTTCAGGGAGGCTCAAACCTTCATCCCACTGAAAAAGCACCGGGGACCGCTTCGGGACCCCTCCGACCCATTCGCCTCGCCGGAAGCCGCATGAAACAGGCCTCCTCGCAAGCGCAGACCTCACAGGACGAGTCGTGAGAGGAAACGAAATCATTCATTCACAGCACCAGGAGTCACACGGAGTGAATATGAAGAGATATGCACCAGGAGTCACAGGTCGCTCGGGGTGCCGGGAACCCGAACAGAGGGTGCCGGGATTCCGGGATTCCGAAGATCCACAGCCCCTGGATGGGACGAACCAAACCACCCTGGCCTCCATGTGACTCCTGGTTGATTTGTTTTTGTTTGTGTGTGGATGGCATGAGACCTGGGCCTGTTCGCGTGTGTGGATGGCATGGTGACTCCGTGGGCCGAAGAAGGGTGACCATGTGGAGCCATGTGGACGACCATGAAGAAGAAGGGTGCCATCCAAGTTAAGTAAACATAAACATATATGAGACACCATAACAATTATTGATTATTGGGAGGTAACCATCCAAAAATAACCCAAAAGTAACCATAATGAGAGATTCCGGGTTCCAACAATATGCTAGACGTCGCGGTCATTCTGTTCGACCGCTTTCACTGGCAGAAGTGAATGTTGTTGTTTAATTATTAGTTTTGGAGCTTTCATTCACTTTTCTTCCCTTCCCTCCAACATGGTGTTGGTTTGGTTTTAGAAAAGCAACCTCCCTTCCATGAGGGAGCTTGCTTTTCGATCTTCGGAAACCTTTCTTATTCGGCGGCGAGCTACAACGCTATTGCAGTCCTGTCCGGTCATGTAGTGTTGCAACTCCACTCCAACCTTTATGCAAGTAAGGTTTGGGTACTGTATTGGTCTTTACATGTGTTTTATATGTTTTTACCAGTGATCATCCTTGATTGAAAGATCCGGTACAGCAGTACAGCATGTGTCTTGGCCAAGCTTGGATATGCTTGGATCCTTTGGGAAGATGAGATCAGCTCCTGCATCAGCTGAAGATCAGCCGTATTGGACTCTCTTATGAACATCATCTGAACATGTTGCTTTGTCTTAATCCGAGCTCGCTGGGCTCTTCCTCCGCCGGTCTTGGTCCCAGGAGCGCTTGCTGGTGGCCGAGCGGTGGCAACGTGACTTGACGGTCCATCGGAACATGGCGGTCTGACCGTCATGGGAAGCCAGAGAAAGAAAAACACACACATTGCACAACCAACATGCAGAATGGCTAGGAGGGAGATGGTCATCAACTTGTTAGATTCTGTCTTTGTTGGAGCAAATCAGACGAGATGTGGTGTGTGTGTGTGTGTGTGCGCGCGCGCGCAAAAGGATTGTTTCCGAGAGTTTCGCCAGGTGCATCCACAAACATGTTTATCAGTTGGAACATAGCACATCCTGTGGATAGAAAAGCTCGGTGAGTGCAATATAGTGCAATCTTTTCTTGTTTCATCCTTGCGCCAGGATGGCTGTAGCGGCAGCGATCATTCAGAATTCCAAGTATCTACCACTGGACATGAACTTTCTTAGCAATGGAGTCACATCCTGTTGCAAGTGGGGCCATACCAAGTCACACTATTTTACCTGGGATTTGTATCTCGTCAATTACCTCACTTGCTGGACTGCACAAAGAACAAATACGAGAATTGGACAAATAATGAGTCTGACAGTGTATTTCAATAGGAAGATCTCCAACCAACGGAGGCTTGGTCTATATTCCTTCTCCACGGGTTGAACTGGGAGGTCTCCCTGCTTCAAATACACAAATGTTAATGTGTTTTGCTGTAATTTGAGGGTATCTACAGGAGAGTTCATGGAAGATGACTGGTGGATCCTGTGGTCACTGGTTCAACGGAACACAGTAACCCGCTTCCATCGGCTGGTGGAATCATATGACAGCTGGTGTGTTTGGGGGTTTGCCCACAAAAGTGAAATCACATGTTCTAACCCAGACCGCCTAACCTGATCCATTTCTTTTTCGTCGCCAACCGACACACCGTGACGACTCCAAGGTTTGACCAGTTATCTCAGCCAAGCTGCAGGGCGAGCAGAGCCAGGCCGGACCGATCGATGGCAAGTCCTGGGCACTTTGTGTGGCCAGTCGCGATCTTCAAGAATTACAGCCGACCACGAACAGATCCATACACAACCGGCCCTGGGTCGTCTTCAGACTTCTTTTTTTTGCTTTCGGTTCAGGATAGCTTGCACATGCATCAAACACCAAAATAGCATCGTTTGCTGGGGTAATTAGGTGAGCGAAGTTCACCAATGTTTGTGTGTTATTTGTTTGACTCATTTCGTCGCTGTGGCTGCAAAGAAAATCTGACTATCCTTAAGAACTGGCTGGTCTTGAAAGCAGTCAAAGGGAATCAGTCTTTGAGCTTCAGGAAGCTTTTGTGCGATGTTCATTAATACACTCAATGAACTCTGGCGTTGGATTTGCCCAGAAATGCACTTCAAGAAGAGTCTTCACCCCCACCACTTTGGGGGAAGGCCACAGATCACAGGCGTTGGGGAAGCAACATTCTTATGCAATCGGACTTCTTTAGGAAACATTTTGGGTACTCTTAGTACTCTTGACATATCTTGACAGTGTTTGAGACGCTACGAAACGACACCTTATAGTCATATTAATATTGTTGTTGTTTTCCAAAATCCCGTCTTTATGTCTAACTTCCTCAGTGAAGTTGCCCATCCTTTGCAGGCCTATTCAACCCAAACATGACCCCTGTTTTGATGGAAGTTGGACTGTTGGACCGTATTTTTTGCGGGTTTGTTTTGCTTCAAAATAGAGAAACCACTCCGCCATTCTTTTGTCGAAGCCTGTCATGAAATTCCCTAAGAGCCACTAGAGCCACGACTCTCAGGCCAAGTGACGGAAGAGCCGGCGCCGGGAAGCTCGGACGAAGCCCTGTGACCGTGACGAAGGGCGAAGGCGTGACGAATGATTCGAAGGGGTCGAAGGGCAGATGGTGGCTGGCTGAATGAGGTGCTAATTGGTGTGATGGGAACTCGTGGCGACCACGTCCGGTTGCAGCTGGGCCGTGGGTGCTTCAGATTTGACAGGCAGGCAGGCAAGGAAGCAAGCAAATACATACACACCAAAAAAAACAAGAGAAAACAACCACGTGTCCAGCCATGTCCATACTTTCTGGCATTTCTTTGTCTCAAATAACATGAACTGTCTGTAGATAACTGTAGTAACAAGTGCATTGCTACTAGTAACAAGGGCAGCAAAAATACTACTAGTCACATCTAGTAACTAAGAAGCCAAGCTACCAGTCAGAATTAACTACCAGTAGCTTCATGTCACTAATTTTGAGGCCTTATGTCTCAATCGCTCGGTCTCAATCGATCTGTGTCTTGCTTCGCCCGTCTCAGGTCCGGGGCGGATCAAGTCCTCGAGGTCGGGAGTCGGGCCATGTCCTTTGGTGAATCGATCTGATGTCTTGGCTTGATAGGAATCTGTTGGGGCTGCAGGCTCATGGGGGTTCTTTGACATGTGTTTTGGGTGGTTTCGGGTTCG